TGTAATGTCACACACAGAGGTATTGTCATGTGACGCAGAGAGATATTGTAACGTGACACAGAGATGGACTGTAATGTCACACACAGAGGTATTGTCATGTGACGCAGAGAGATATTGTAACGTGACACAGAGGTGGACTGTAATGTCACACACAGAGGTATTGCCATGTGACGCAGAGAGATATTGTAACGTGACACAGAGATGGACTGTAATGTCACACACAGAGGTATTGTCATGTGACGCAGAGAGATATTGTAACGTGACACAGAGATGGACTGTAATGTCACACACAGAGGTATTGTCATGTGACGCAGAAGATATTGTAACGTGACACAGAGGTGGACTGTAATGTCACACCAGAGGTATTGTCATGCGACGCAGAGAGATATTGTAACGTGACACAGAGGTGGACTGTAATGTCACACACAGAGGTATTGTCATGCGACGCAGAGAGATATTGTAACGTGACACAGAGGTGACTGTAATGTCACACACAGAGGTATTGTCATGTGACGCAGAGAGATATTGTAACGTGACACAGAGGTGGACTGTAATGTCACACACAGAGGTATTGCCAGGTGACGGAGGGAGGCATTGCCGCGTGACGCAGAGAGGTATTGTTGTGTGACGCAAAAAATGGACTTGCGCAACAGGTATTGTCATGTGACGCAGGGAGGCATTGCCGCGTGACGCAGGGAGGCATTGTTGTGTGACGTAAAAAGATATTGCCTTGTGACACAGAGAGGCATTGTCATGTGACGTGGAGAGGTATTTTCGTGTGACGTAAAGAGGCATTGTCTGTGACGTAGAGAGGTATTGTCATGTGACGATGCACGACCGTGCTGGCCTTCGCTGTGCCACTCACGAGGCCGAGGCTGAAAAGATGCGCACGCCTTAGCATGAGGTCGCGCGTGGTGAGTGAGTATAAATTTCATTTGGTATGTAAATGCAAGATTCTATAGATAGTCAGATGACGTAAGCCCTCCTTACCGGCCCCTACAAAACCCAAAAGCATGCAGTACTTTGCGCGATGAATGTATCATGCGCAATTGGTTGCTGAGACTGAACCTTATCGTTTTGGGTGACCTTTGAAGCGTCCGGAGGCTAGCAGAGGCCTTGATCAGATCTCACCGCGTCTCAGGGAGATTCGCCGTGGAAAAGACAACTGCTTGGAGAGATTCAACAGAACCTACGAGCCAGGAGAGACACCACATGGCAGAGACCACTGGTGCAGCTACAAACAAGAAGGCGATCTTTGTTACTTCGGTAAGTGCTTCTTTCGCGATTTCTTACGCGCTTGGGCAAAATAGATGTTGCTCGCGCAATGAAGCATCGAACCATGGACAAAGGAATGTATGTGGTTCGCCACCGAGTCCATATACAATAAATAATTAAATCAACTCGGCTTACTTCAGTAAGTTATCATTAATTTTAGCCCGAGGGCTTGATTTGTCATATCGCGTAGTGGGTAAAACTAACTACTTGAAAAAAGGATGCGTATAGACAATTTTCGCAGTAGAGAATAGGCCTAAAACACGTGAATAGGAAACGCTTATGCTAAACTTTTTCTCTCTCCGAGATCCTTTGCCACACACGTTGAGAACATATCTGATGTGACATTTTCAGCACATCATTTTGGAGCGTCCAGCTTCCTCACATAGCAACAGACGAAAATCACTGTGAGCAAACTGCCACAAAACACTTTCATGTAGAGATCAAATCGCTCGAAATATTTTGTTGAGCAGAGAGTTCCTCTGCTGGTAGTAGTGAACACGAGGCTTTGAAGTTAGTTATACTTAAACACTGACGCTTATCTCAAAACGATCTTTTCAAGTACTTTTGCCGGTCTTCTGAAGAAGAGAGAATCGAGCATATGACCTTTAAGCGTCGCGTGATAAAGCTCGCATGCAATGATTTTTTACATAGGCTCGCGAGTTATCTTCTGTCGTTGCATTTTTTGCAGCACCCATGGGCACATTCATTACTAATTTCCCTTCAACGCTGCCGATACTTCTGGAAAGTGTGACAAATGACTGTGATGGCCGGCACACTGACATTGCAACCACATCTCTGACCAGCTTCTTTTGGAAAAGCTTTTGAGGCGCTCGTTGCAGTTTGACTTGCAAATTCCACAATTTTAAACTGCAAATAAAACGCCCCAACTTGATGCCGTTCCAGAGCCAACCAGAGCGGAAAATGTCAGTTAACCCAAGGATATTTCTGTGATGGCGCTGGGCCTCAAGCAAGAAAATTCGCCACCTACCGCATGCTTACCTTAAACGAATCGTTTGTGAATCACTGACCAGTAGCCTTACTAACCATAAGCAAATCGCTTGTGGACCACTGACCTAGCCTCACTTCTCTCCAGACATACCGTCCCGTAACCAAATGGACGATAAGTACATGGACAAAAGCGTTGCGCCAGGCTACTGCGCAGCTGCCAGCTGCCAGCTGTTCCGGACCTGCTGCTGCCAACGGCGGCATGCACACCGTGTGGCGTTTCTATCACGAACAGCGCGTTGCGCGGGCTGCAGCTGTCGGTGTCGGCCGTCAGATGGAAGCAGCTGCTCGCGCCAGCTGCTGGACAGCTGGCCCAGCTTGGGCGTGACGGTACCGTTGACGGTCCCAGCTCGCGCCGCAGAGGGTGTGTTTTTAATCTAGATAAGCTGCATCAATACTCGTTATGGAGGATATTAGGCAGTGTTTAAACTGGAGTGACACGCGCGGATAAGCCTATGATAAGCTATTTTATGATAGATGAGAAGCTATGATAAGCTATTTTACCAGAAGGGTAAAAAACATCCCCGAAAGGGAGAATTGGGTTTGCCTTGCTGTTGGTTACGCTAGAAGAAAATATCAAACACAGGATCAAGTAAGCAAGAGCAAACAGTTGGAGTGTTAATATCTACCGGATTGTGCAACCCAATCATTGCGGGATATTTATGCCTCATTGAGGATTTGCGATGTATGTATGAGCTTTTATGAGCTTGTAATGAAATTTTATGCCAGATCTGTTGACAATAGAGGCACAGAATGGGACGGGGTCCCGTGGCACTCGGTACTGCTGGGAACGGACACATATACACCTGTGCAGCTTTGTAAGTACATATACATATGTATAGATATATATATATATATATATATATATATGTGTGTGTGTGTGTGTGTGTGTGTGTGTGTGTGTGTGTGTGTGTGGGTGTGTGTGTGTGTGTGTGTGTGTGTGTGTGTGTGTGTGTGGTGTGTGTGTGTGTGTGTGTGTGGTGTGTGTGTGTGTGTGTGTGTGTGTGTGTGTGTGTGTGTGGTGTGTGTGTGTGTGTGTGTATTACGGCCATGACACTTTGGGTATACATTACACCTCGCATACAGTTTACACACCACATATTGCTACAACACTGTAGTGTATATATACCCGTTGTATGCATCATACATATAAATGCCTACATAACCTATGTGTATGCAGTGTTGAAATGGCATCTCAATGTTGTCTGAAACTGCGTTTTGGTATTTTTCACCTTGGCAAAGTGAGAAATGCTCAGTTACCAAATGATCAAAATGGCTTCGGTCATTTTCAACCAATGTCTTCGCGAGCTACTTGGCGTCTTCCAAAACACTGCTGAACTAACACGGTACATATAGGTCTCAATGCAGTTATGGAAAGAAACCAGCTCTGTAAAAACGATGATCCATGCTAGTTTTTCAGACATGCGCTTAAGTTTTGGAAAATAATGGCAAAAACTGAAGGGCTTACATTTTTTATCTTTACCCAGTTTAAGCGTAGGTCTGTAATACAGGCGCGCCGTATCAGCACAGTGCACTCTCAGCTGAATAGCATGCACAAGAAGATATTGATTCGGACCGTTCTGTTGTTCAATTTTTCCTGCAGCAACAGGGCTGGATGCTCCAAAACGATTGGAGAAAACTTGGAGAGAAAATTGGAGGTTTGGAGAATCGGTCATTTGACTTACTGTGAACTGTGACCCACTGGAGAGAGACGTTGACGAACTGAACATGCTATTTGAACCCCCGCCCCGAAGTGCCGTTTTTCATAACGCAAAACAAATCAAAGGGGCGATGCAACCCCTTGTTATTTCCAAACTTAAAATGAAAACAGCTCACGGAAAAAACAGCGAATTGACCTCAGCGACATCTCGCGGCTGAGTTGACACTGCTAGGTCAGTGACTAACCACACTAAGCCATGTCAAAGGTCAATTTGCCTGAATATCAGCCTATTCATCCCCACATGCCCATATTTACAAAAACGCCATTTAACAGCATACAACTTCGAATGGCATGTTTCTTGTCTTATTATGGGCATATTGACATGTATATTTGCGTGTTTGCGCACATGGTGTGATGCTCAAATCCATCAATGTATAGTCGCGACCGATAGCGCGATCGGCGGATCCGTCGGTTGCCGGCCACCGCCCGCGATCTGTGGATCCGTCAGTTGCCGACCGCCGCTCGCGTTGACCGTCGATTACTGGGTTATGATCCTAAAAAGATGGCTTTACGAAGGCAGAAATGTTAAATGCATATTTTCGAAATCAAAACATTGCGATGAATCCTGGTATTGAAAAACTGGGCGCGATTGCACGGCGCGCTGAACAGCTATCACCAGAGAATATAGGTGCCGTATTGACCCCATTTCTCAGGGCGACGTCTACACACGGCCAGCAAACTTAAAATTTATTCCAAGCAGCGATTGCTTCTCGTAGGACCTTTGCGCCAAGCTTAGAATCAGCCAGTGTGGAGCCATCACCCACCCCGTCACGCTCTGTGGAGGTGGGGGAATAGGCAAGCTGGCAAGAGCGTACTGGCTAGGCAAACCTCCGTCGGCGCCTGCACGAGTGCGGCGGTGCAGGCGGCTCACCTGGGTGTGCCCACCCGCGCCGTGTCTCCGGCGGGATTGGTCCAGTGCTATGAACTCCGACGAGAGCGCGGCAGGCGGCTGCATCCTCTCACATGCCCCTGTGCTGCGCCGCAGGTGGTGTGGGCCTTGAATGAGCCGATGATGGAAGACGCTGGCGGAGGCTTCGTACGGATGCACCCCGAGATCGTGTGGCTGATGAACCAGGTTGCCGTCTCCATTCTGTGAGTCATCCACAGGTCTGGCTGATGAACCAGGTGGCTGTTTCCTTTCTGTGAGTCATCCTGAGATCTGGCTGATAAGCCATGTGACTGTCTCCGTTCTGAGAGTCATTCGGAGGTCTGGCTGGTGAGCCATGTGACTGTTTACCGGAGTGAGTCATACGGAGTTGTTCTGGGAGCTGTCCGTTCTGGGAGTCATCAGGAAATTATTCTGAATTTGGAAGGCATGCAGCGCCTTTGGTGTCGGATGTTCAGTTATTATGCTTATTTATTTTGTTTGTATTGTGTTCTATTTATTCTTAGTTCTATGTTGTTATGTATCGTGTTATATATTGTTTTATATTGAGTGAAACTAGTGGCTGCGCGCCCAACTTTGATAGAGGTTGTAATCGCACCACATGGGGTTTGTGTTTGATCTAACTTGTTATGTGCGCTGCTGTACCCGTGCTTAGCATGTTTTGCTAAATACGCACTATAATCACCAACTCTGAGTAATGTAACCATATGCGTCTTGACCCTTATAAGACATTATGGTATTAGTCATCAGCACCAATGTCAATATAATCGCGGTAATTGCTATAACGGCCATGACGCTTGTTATCAGCATGATATGAGCACTGTGGTATCATGGTAAATCGTGATTGTTGAAATAACAGCAGGCCAAAGCCTAAAGGTACGTCAAAAAGGGCCAAAAGCAGGACTGGGCTACCATTGTAGGACATATTAAGTACCATGATAATTAATCATTCCAGCGATCATTACTCCAATCGTCAGCACCACAACGATCGCCACCACCACCACCGCCCACCTGACGGCTTCGTTGCAGGAGGCGGTACCCTGGTGTGCACATCTGGTCCTCCCATCTGCCCGTCGCCATCTGGTACCACGAGATGTGCCGCGCACTTGGCCATCCCAACGAGTGGGGCTTCCTCTGCCACGACCAGATCCACGTGGGTGACTACGCGCTGGAGAACTACAAGGACATCCTGCTGAACAGCATGTGTGACGGCATGGTGGCGATGCCGGACAGCAACTGCTGCGGCATGCGCTTCTGACGGGGAGGTGCGCGGTGACATGAGGAGTGCCACATTTGGCAGGATCTTCGGTGGAGTGCCACGCTGGACACAACCTTCGGCGGAGTGCCACGCTGGTCAGGATCTTCGGAGGTGTGCCACGCTGGACACAATCTTCGGCGGAGTGCCACATTTGGCAGGATCTTCGGAGGTGTGCCACGCTGGACACAATCTTCGGCGGAGTGCCACGCTGGTCAGGATCTTCTGTGGAGTGCTACGCTGGTCAGGATCTTCAGCGGAGTGCCACGCTGGAGAGGATTTTCGGCGGAGTGCCACGCTGGGCAGAATCTTCGGCGGAGTGCCACGCTGGGCAGAATCTTCGGCGGAGTGCCACGCTGGGCAGAATCTTCGGCGGAGTGCCACGCTGGGCAGAATCTTCGGCGGAGTGCCACGCTGGGCAGAATCTTCGGCGGAGTGCCACGCTGGGCAGAATCTTCGGTAGAGTGTCACTGGACAAGATCGTCGGAGGAGTGCCACACTGGACGGGACCATTGGAGGGGTGCCACGATAGACAGCGCCTTCAGCAGAGTACGATAACGTAAGGAGCGCCACGTTGACCCGATGTTCCGAGCTGTTGCTCCTGGACTGGTGCCGTCTGGTGTTCCTGGACTGGTGCTGTCTAGTATTCCTGGACTGATGCCGTCTGGTGTTCCTGGACTGATGCTGTCTGATGTTCCTGGACTGGTGCCGTCTGGTGTTCCTGGACTGGTGCTGTCTGGTGCTCCTGGACTAGTGCTGTGCTTATATGGAAAGAGTGACAATGCGAGACCATATGCTGTTATGAATTGGTGGCGGCACGAGATGTCTCACTGTGTGTCCCAGCTTCAGGCGAGTTATGACACGCTCGGTACATCTCATTGCTATTCTGTGGTGTGGTTGTAAGCAATGATCGCTGGCATCGTAAACGGGTTATTGGCGAGATACGAAAGATAGGCTAAAATATTGTTCGTTGTTAAACTTGTCTAGGATCATTTCTGGTTTCCGTTGGTAGAGGTTATGGCCTAATGGAAGGGCGGTATGTGTGTCGTGATGTGTATACATGAGTGTGTGTGTGTGTGTGTGATATGTGTATACATGTGTCGATAGGTGATTTAAAACTGCAGCATGCTAGCAACATGGGCGTTCCTAGATTTTAGAATTGAATGTTAGCCCTGCTGGTTGTCCATTTTAGTTTTCATGACGTGATTTTGGACACGTAAATACTGATCTCGACGGGTATGACGTCACGCCTCCATAGTAAGTGCAACCATATCAGCAGCACTCGCTGTGGTGGACAAGTACGAACAGTTATGAGTCACGTTTTCGGCAGCACTGTACTGCCAGCAAAGCCGTTGCATGACAGCGGTCGGCTCGCCTGGGGACGCACGCTCCAGTGTGTTCCGCGGATGCAAACCTTACCTATGCAGTGTGTCCCTCGGATGCACGTCTTACCTATGCAGCGTGTACGGGGTGCTTGCCGTGGCTGCGAAAAGAAAGCACTGACTGCCATGAAATGAGCGCTGACTTCTCGATCATGTTGCTACCGATGCAGGGCTGAGGCCACTGCCCTCCCAATGGAGATGTCAGCTGAAGTGCAACAAGACGCTGGCTGCTTCTTTGTGCTTGCCCTACTGCTGCAGCGCCCCTGATGGAACTATATTTACACCATGATTAAATAAAACACGATGGCTTGCGGGGTACACACCAATTATTCTTCCATACACACCACCACCAATTATTCTTCTCGTCAGTCGTTCACCCCTAGCATTAAAATGTGTCTGTTAAGTTTTGCCTTTACCACCGCAATATATGGGAGTCCGCTACATCCAGCGGCGCTCCGAGAGCTTCTCTTTGGGTGAGGCGGCCAGGCCTAGAGCCAGCCATCCTCCTGCTCTAGGCTGCTCTCATTCTCAGCAAGCCCGCATTGCGTTCCGTTTGGTAACGGTGGCACTGCAGGCTCAAACGTTCGAGCCTTGGTGTTCCGGTGTTCTGCGCTCTTCAAAACAGCCAACGCTGCATCTGCTGATGATCAATGCTTGCAGCTGACGTCCATACACACGGGTCGCCAAAAAATATGAAGTGGAAAAGCGGCAACCTATATGACAACGGGAGCAACAACACCGGCCCGAAAGACCTCCTCCGGGCTAGGAGAGGCAGAGGGTGGGGGCGGGGGTGGGGGCACGTCTGCCATCTTGTATGCTTTGGATAACGCATACTTCACAAGCAATGGCGGTACGAATGCGTCAGCTGAACAAAATATGCCAAAATAGTGATGGTTGCTATTGTTCTGCACCTGACGTAACTAAAAGCCCGTTTGCTGGAATCACAGTTTGTGCCCTGTTCCATCGATAAGACAAAGCAGTTTTAGATGACCCGTGGTCTCGCCACTGGGTACGGGAACGGCGGGGCGAAGAAACCTTAGTGCTCGCCATTCTCTGTAACATCAGTTCAAGTGAACCACGCACCCATGTTCCGCATTTGCCGAGAAATGAAGACGAAAATAAAGGAATGAAATGAAACAGCACGCACGGAACAACTTAAGGAATGAAATTTTTGTGCATGTTTCACATCACCTCTATTCCTTGCGGTGCTGAAACAGGAGCCTACATGGGTGCTGTGTTTGCCGATGCGAACGCCAAAAGCAAAACACTAGTTCAGAAGCTCACCGGAAGAGGGCTGTGCATCGGGCGACGGAAGATGCCCCCAAAGCCACACAGCAGTGCAGTGTGGAACGAGTACAGTGTTGCTTACAAAAATATCTAAGCCCCTGTGCAATCTGGCAACCACTTGAACTCTGACGTGCAGTGAATTGTTGTTTGATGTAGCGTCATGAAATCCAACTGGAGAAGGCTTCACGCTGCCTGAGATATCTCTCCACTCGCCAAAGACGTGGATTTGTTCGTCATCTAAGCCCTTCTTGAGACTCGAGTCGGTCCGCACACTTTGAAAGACTGGTGCATACAAATTAACGTGTAAAATGCGAAACATTCAGAAAACGTCGAACATTGCACTGCAAATCAGATGCCTTTGTACAGACTTCACTAAAATAAACGCTTAGTCTGTCGCAAAGCCTAAACATTCTCAGTGTCGCTTATTCCTACATTCCAATGACAAAAATGCTACAACATACTTCCGGGTGGGGTTACATATCTTGCCTCGCGGCTGGACTGCGGAAATCGCCGCGAAACACTTCTCCGTTTTAAGATGCTCGCTCATCCCTCAATGAAAGGGCTGCCTCAATGTTTTCCACGAGTTTTCTAAAAAGAGAGGGAAAGTCATTTTGTGGAGATTTTTGGGAAGATCATAGCATTTGGGAAAGCCCATAACGTTCATTAGTTGTGATGACACGTTAGTTGCTACGAACCTTAGGTGTTACGATAATCCCCGATCAGAACAACGAAACAGTGCATCACGTGACACACCGGAGACCCGTGATCGTTAGGGAATACAACATGCGGCTAGCTTAGTGCTCGTTTTTAGAATATCAGTGGAGTTCATGGGTTTGCCTCTCCTGTACGGACAGAATGTGCTCAAGTCCACCGCAGCAGGCATGAACACCATTCCTGTCCAAGTCGTCGAAGAACGGAAATGCTAGCATGGGCTTCATACGGCGGCAAAGATGTACTCTCTCGCCAGGCTGTACCTAGCACTATGCCCACCTGGGCTTCAGGGCACAAAATGCATACATAGTGCACCGTGTTCCCAGACTCTTGAGTCGTGGCTGCGCGCAGCCAATCATTTCCTGCCTCACCTAAATGAACAAGAAAGTACCACTTATCTGCTACCGTTACAGCGTAACCTTACACGCCCGCGCGCTATCATCGAGCGCACGCAGGCCGAGACGGCGTTGTTTCACTATGTGCTTCACGCAACAATCCAGTGCACGTCGCACGCAACCGTAATGAACCTGCCAGCTTGACCACGGCGACTGACCTTCACAACTCCCCCCGGGCGCCCAGGATGTAGAGGGGAGGGGGGGGAGGGGCGGGGGCGCGGCGGCGCGCCGGTTATAATCAGTCACCGGCACAAAACGCTGTGACAGTCGACTCGAATCAACCAACAAAATCGTGTCACGTGCCGTAAACTCCGGCCTTCCTCCGGCATCCGGCTGGCGGCCAGAGCGGTGTATCGACCCCGCCCGGCGTCCGCAGATAGGCCTCTCTGCCGGTTCTGCGCCGTCGCGTGTCACCTTGCAAGAGACATTAGGCGACGGCCGGCCGCAGTCATGGAAGGCCGCGCCCTGGCTCGACCTCGACGTGCGGGTGACGCCCGAACGGGCTGACACCTGGCGGACGGAAACTCAACTAGCCGACGCAGCCGGCGACGGTTCCGTCGCGTTGCAGGCTCGCGTGCGATGCCGTGGTGTTTATGTGAATTCCAGTGCTGTAGCCGGAGTTTGATGTAGTTTGTATTTTGAGCTCATGCAACAAGGTACAATGACAACGATAACAGCTTTTGGTTTCTGGTGTTAACTCTTAGCTTAAAAGTAACGTCCTTATCCGTTCTGTTTTCTATTCAGTGTCGCCTCGCGCCATCATACACAATTGTCCAAGTTACTAAAAAAGAAGCACGTCTTCGTGGGTGAAAAAGGCTGTTATCACTTTTGTGGCCCAGTATTTTCTATATATCGATGCGGGATCCTTCGCAAAAGTTCACCGCATTCGATGAGAAAGCGTTATAACTATCGTAAGGCTTTCATGACCAGTGCTGCAAATAATGACGCATATGTAAATCGTTGAAGCAATGAAATTATGAGGTCTCGTAAAGCTGAAAACTGGTATAAGCAACATGCCAAAAGATCCAACGATGTTTCTATTTAAACAGTCTGCGTGCTGCATCCTCAGTGACGTCACCAAGGGGGAAGGAGGCAGTGACCCCTAATCATACAATACATCTACCCTAGATACCGAACTCTTTCGTAGTAATTTGCTTGAAATTCGCCGAAATTTGGAGAAGTCTCAACATTCGGGTATCCCCGAGGAAAACTTTGATTACGTGCCTGCGTGTGCTTACAAAAATCAATGAATCAGCACCCGTTTTAGGACGAGAAAGAAGGATTTTTGCTTCTTATTCTTACCAATACTTTTCTGCGGGAAAAGGTGAGAGCTAGGGCATGCTGTGTGGCGGACAGCTAGGGCATGCCGGGCGACTAAGAGCTGGCGCATGTCGCGTGGCTGGGAGCTGGGCCATGCGTC